TTCTAACATTGTGATTAAAGGTTTTGCCCTTGCTTCAAGAATGACACTATTGAAGGACTCAGACACGTTGTTGAGAACAACATCACATTTGTTTTCAGTCCTAAAGTAAGATCTACTCCAAAACCTTGGTGGGGTCTTCATCATATGTTTAAATGCTTCTTCATTGATGGCCCTCATTCCCTTCATCTCTTTTTCCCATGACTGTGGGTATGTTGATTTGGCAGCCTTCCATATTATGTCCTTCAACATCTTTCCAGGAAACTTTTTTCTAAAGTTGTTGTAAAGGTGCCTAACACAAAACCTGTGCTCCATCCTTGGCAATAACTCATCCATAGTAGGTAGCAGACCCTGCACATATAACAGTAGCAGCACATGTCAACAGCAGCACATATATAGCTAACTAATAATGGACACAGCAACAACACATATAACAGCAGCACATCCAAAGCTACATATACCAGCACATATATCAGCCACCATATATCAGCACATATATCAGACTGTTACAATAAAAACTTCATAGGACATGTAGAAAATAAATAACAACTGTTACAATACCAACCTTATTATAACCTTATTCACAACAGCAACACATAAATTGAATAGATATACCAAATGACAGCAGCACATTTAATTAAAAGGAAATAACAGCAGCAACAAATCCAAATTTAAAGGTACATATATAGCACATATATCAACATATATAGCACATATAGCAGCAACACATATAATAGCAGCAACACATATAGCTAACTATATCACATATAGCTAACTATATCACATATTTCAGAATATATATAACAGTCTGAGACACTTGGATAGCAGCAACACATATAATAGCAGCAACACATATAATAGCAGCAACACATATATAGCAGCAGCACATATAATAGCAGCAGCACATATAATAACAGCAACACATATAACAGTCTGAGACACTTGGATGCATATTTCAGAATACATATAACAGTCTGAGACACTTGGATGCATATTTCATAATACATAAAACAGTCTGACATGAAAAACAGCATATGCAATAAATGAAAAACTTAAAGCTTTCCTTTTGTTGGTCTGAGATGAAGGTGTAAGTCAGGCATTCAGCTTTGCCTCCAAGATCATCAATTAAGAGCTCTAAAAACCAAGTCCAGCTCTCCTTGTTTTCACTCTCCACAACTGCATATGCAATGGGAAGCATCTGATCATTAGGATCCCTCCCAATGGCAGCTAGTATCTGCCCTCCACACAACCCCTTAAGAAAACATCCATCTAGACCTATTACATGCCTGCACAACTTAAAGTTTTCCTTACACGCAGCAAAACATATGTAAAGCCTTCTAAAATATGGTCTTTCATCCTCAACACCTACTTGTACAGGCTCAACATTGAGCTTAACTGTTGACCCTGGATTGGCTCTTAACAGTTCATGACAGTAGTCATAAACCCTTGTGTAATCTCCCAAAAATGAACCATCTACATACTCTTTAGCTGCGACTCTTGCTCTTATGGCTTTGGTTTTGTTGACCCCAACATTCCACTTTTTTTGTGCCTTCTCCTTGATATCCTTTATAGTCAACCTTGGATTGTTTTTCAAGCTATTTTGAAGCCTTTTACTCAACCACTATATAATTAAGGAAATCCACTTTTTACTCAACCACTTTGTACTCATCAGCTTACGTTTATTTGTCATTCCAAAGAGAAATCCAGTTGTTGATTTCATAACTCTTTTTTGTCATTGGTCTAGATCGTTTTTCCTATAAATATGAGGATTTGAACACTAAGGAAGCTTTTCATAATCCATGGCATTCAAGTTCATTCATAGTCGCTCTTACTAGCAAATGCCTTCTTTTTTTCCTTCTTGAAAGCATCCATCAATGGTTGTAGCTTTTAGATCAAAGTTTTTGCCTTTCTTCATTTACTTTGCTTAATCAATCTCATGTTACCATGTACCTTTCTCGAGTCAACCTTTTACCTTTAGCATTTCCTGTTTTCTAGCCAAGATGGGTGATAGTCCTGTTCACATAGTGATTGATTTTTAGAACGATGTTTTTTATGCTACATGAAATGGGGGAGCTTCTTCGTTCGACTCTATCAAAGCTCTCTTATCAAAGGATGGGGTAGAGGAAGTTCGCACTGAAGTTTATATGCCTCTTCCCATTTTAAGTGATGCACAAATACAAACGGTTAGGAAGAGGAGATAATTTGCTGACAATTTCGCCCAGGTTTACCGAAGAACCAACAATTGTGAACCTAAAGACTCTGAAATTAGGGCCCACCTAGAATGTCGGGGTAGGTCAGATATTGTTTCTTGGATCAAGCCTGGCGAACACATTAAAGTTGATAAACTGTCCTAAAGAGGCGTGACGCTAGTAAGCCAACCGATGCAGTTAAGTACAACTAAAGGGATGCATAAGTGGTGGGTATCTAGTTCTTTTTTAATACTAAGGCAGAAATAGATGATGTTGACATCCCGGTCGGCGACCTTCTTGCTTGGTCATTTCTTCCTCTGGATCTAGAGAAGAGGATATGCAACTCTTTTGATGATTGCACGGTCTCACTCTATAAATATTTGTTCACTAAGATAGGACTGCAATGACCTTTCTCTAACTTTGAGGTGGTCGTCCTAAAGCATTTGAACTTTTCCCCTTCCCAGCTTCATCTAGGGGCCCGGGCTTATATGAGGGTGTTCCAATTTTGTGTCGAGCATAAGTCTTGGAAGCCTTCTTTCGGGTTGTTCTTCGACCTATTCTATATGGGGCACACTTCTTAGGACGACACCCGCAACCAAACGCTTATTGCTTTCCACCTGGACGACCTTTAGTTAACCATTTCATCCGTGACTAGGGAGATCTTTCGAGGCGTTTCCTACTGGTGAAACCCCTCACTTCATAGGCACATCTCGTCTTATACTATTCTTTGTTTGAATCTTCTCGTCTTTGTAAAAGCATATTCATGAATTATTTTTCTTAACTTCACTTCCAACATATTGCTAACTACTATCACATAAAGTCATGTCCTATTTTCCTCAGACGAGGTAACGATGAAGGAACACCTACGTTCCTGGTTTCAAGGCCTTGGTTAAGAAGAAAAGTTTTGCCTTGGCGAAGTGACTTCTTCTAAGACGAGGAAGAAGAGAATTGATACTTGTGACATCGTAAACACAGTCTCTTGGGAGGGGAGGAAAGAGATCTTCGTGAGGACAAAGTCCAATAGTTTGTTTTTTTTAACATGTATGATTGCATCTTGTAGATAACATGGACAAATTAAAGTTGATCTACAACCTTGACAATGCTCAAGGTATCACGATCAGAAGCAAGCGTTTGATCGGTTTCAAGTTGTTGCAATGCCAGAGCTTGCTCATTATCCAAGTTGTTGCAATGTCAGGGTTTGTCATTGCAACAACTTTGAATATGCATTTGGCTCCACTCTATTATTGCATTACGCTTTTGATCGGTTCCAAGTTGTTGCAATGTCAGGGCTTGCTCATTATCCCAACAGATTAAAGTTTGTTCGCCTCAGGGGCGTTGTTGATGTTCACCAATTGAGAAGAGTTATTGCGCTTTATACACGTTACTAGGAATCGCCCCCGATCAAAGGAAAGGTTCTTGTCCCTGCCCTAGGGCTGGCCTGGTTCGGGGTGGACACCTCGGGGCTCCACCGCCTACGGTCTTAGACTGGTTATTTCATAAGAGGGGGAACGTCGGCTACATTGATAAGAGTTCTCCTTAAACGTGAAGTTTGTCTTAAAAGACTGGCTTACTCCATTTTCCATGAAGCACCATATTTTTTTGTGGCAACAACACTTAATAATTAGTATATCAATTATAGAAATTATGCAAATGCCTTAAAGAATATCTAACTACTAGAAGGAGTTGTGAGGGTACAATGTTCTCCCTTTCGTTCTTTATCCACTCGATGGGGTGATGGTCTGCTTATAATCCATCTGGGCATTCTTGATCAACAGTCATCGCCTCGCTCCTTCACTTTAGGAGTTTGCCCTTTTGCGCCTGGCCAGATTCTACTCATGATGAACATATAGTTGAAAGAATATGAGATTTCTTGAATGACTTTTCTCCATAGCCTCTCCTTGACTTTTACAAATTAAGGATAGACTTCTTTCTTTCACCATATCGCCTCCTTATGGATCAACAAGGCTGAGCTTCTTTCTTTCACCATATCGCCTCCTTATGAATCAACAAGGCTGAACGGGAAATTAAATGAAAATGTCATCCGAAGATGACCCTTTCTCTCTCGTATTTCTTCCTGTGTGGCGTGATCTTTCACACATTATTTATATCCTCACTTGAGATAAAATATCCTAGGGAACCAGAGCCGACTACCATGGAACCTAGTGATGCAACCTAGTGATGCAGTGCAAGAACGGTCAACAAAATAGGGTTTTCAAGTGAGGACAAAGAATCATCTTATCAACCAAAATTTAAAAAGGCAAACCAATTTTGAAAGAGAAGTTCATTTAATATGGCTAATAACATGGCAAGGAAAATTACATAGAATGTGTGTACACACGCATACTACTACTACTAAAAAACTACAATCTTTAGAGACACCCCTGGCATGCGTTGAAATGAACTCTATCAGAACCTCTACAAACAAAACAAAATTAAGACATAACACAGAACTCATTGTGATCTTGATCTCTTGAGAAACATTTAACATAATGTCCACATGATTCAAACAAATGTTACATAATCATAAAAATAGCCGCACAAAATTAGGGGGGAAATAGGCAAGAGTTTGGAGATTTACTGACAATGGACCTAATTTTATAATAGCATATCTGTTCCCTAAATATACAGCCTAGTTGTGGTAAAATATATGAATATGTTACACACAAAATAAAACTAGATTTGGCAGGACTCGGGTGGTAATAGTTGGTATTAAAAAAAGCTAGTGATCAAAATGGGGAGTTAGGGAAGGCACATCAGAAACAATCAACCACCAGAGACAAAATTTGGATTTTTCACTGTTCCAACCAAATGCTTTTACGCTGACGGGGCTCCTTTATTCGTACTCAACTCTTCATCAGCCTCATTACCATTAACGAGAACTGCACCATCAGTCGAATCAGCATCCACTACAACTTCATCCTCTTGGCTTCCTTCCTCTCCATTTTGTTCTTCATGCCCCTCTGCATAATCCTCTTCTCCATTTTGTTCGGGCAACTGCAACAAGAGGGCATAAAACAACATAAAGTAACAGTCTAATACAAACATTGACAATCAATAGGAGTTGTGGATTGTTCTTTCCATAGTAACATTTATTTTATGAGAACTGCTGGAAACAGCATTTAGAGTACTATTTTGTTTTCCTTATCAAGTTTGGACAGACAGGGTTCAATCCCACTCCTGTTATCGGCTTCTAACCCACCCATTCACACAAGAAATAACCATATAGATATTGGTTGTTACTTTGTCTTGAATGCCCCAGCTTGAGGGGTAATCTTGGAAAGAGCATAGTGACTGCTAGAAATATAGTACCATTTAAAGCTTTAGGTTCAAATTCCATGAACAGTGATTTAATTCATTCATTTATGAAGTAGCAAGTTGCACTAGCATTTATTTACTAGCATTCATAATGAAAATAATCATGAATTGTATATAAATATCAAAGCTGCTGAGTGCTAAACCATCAAGCATTCATTCTATCTCCTTATTTTTCTACACGGGTTTTTCAAGTTGAACATTTTGATAACTTTTGTGTTGTGTTAACCCTATATTTAGTATACCTCATGATTAGAGTCCCCATTCTCAAGAGGCTGATCCCCTTCTTCGATCTCCATATTTCTGAAAGCATCAACAAGGGTGACATGTGCTTTATCAGCATGGTTAACATACTCCTCTGCAGGATGGTAAGCGCCCCTATAATAAAAGAATAGAGTTAGTTTGTCAAAAACATGTTGGAAATGCTTAGTACACAGATTATATAAGTTGCAAAATAATGTAACTATGCATTTCCCAACACACCTTGTTTCTGCAGCTTTAGATTCAACAGCAAGTGCAACTTGCCAATCTTCAAACAAATTTGGATACTCCTCAGGATCAGCCAAAGATTCAGCAGCTTTTGGATTAACCTGTGCATATTACCAAATAAATATAAGAATTTATTTATTTAAGTCACATCCTATCTGTTAATAAGAAGTTACCTTGCCAAGATCTTTTCTCCATATTGCCACTATCTCTGAGACCTTGCTTGGAAGATATGATCGAGCCATCAAAGCAGCCTCTGGAATCCGATTGCTGCCAAAAGCATAAGTCAGCTATGTGTAATCACAGTCTAACTAACCGACCCTCCCGCCACCCATTTAAGTAATGCCGTTAATGAAAAGAGTACAACGGTAGAATTTTACCTTTCTACCAACAATTGAAGGCAGTCTTCAAGTTTACCCAACATAAATAAGCAAAGGAAAGCAACATTGTTCTTTCCTTGATCTTTAGCAAGAATTGCAAGTTTTGATATTCCTTCAGCATCTCCTAATGAAGAATATAGAAGCAACAATCCACTCAAATCCATTGCATGTTTTAAACACTCCTCAGCCATTTCTAACTGCAAGAACATATAATACAGTCAGCTGCAAAAGACAAACACCAAGGGCCTTCAAAACCATTACCGGTTATGACAAGAAAAAATAAATATTCACTGCCTTAACCATGCACTTGACTCAGCACCTACAACTCAAGATGATCTTTGAGAGTTTTGAAAAGGAGGGGAGTGCTGTTTCCTAGTGGATTGATTTGGAATTGGATTTAGTAAAATACTGCTGTACTTTATTGAAGCAATTGAAGGAAGCCACAAACATTGTTTGAAAGTAACAACGATGACTAAAAATGTGGTGTTTCCAGAACTACTCTTTTAATGATATGGTTGCAACAAAAGAACAGAAGGGTACCATGAAAAGACATTTTTTTATTTGAAAAAAGAAAGGATAATATTTTTTTCAAACCACTCAAATTGGTATGAAAATATGGGCGTCTGATGGTAAAGAGGGGCTGGGTGGGTTCCCTACTTGACCATTCCATGCTATCACTTAAAAAAGCTCCAAAACAAAACGATTTGTTCATTTTACAACTCCATCCTCTAAACATGCCCCAAACCAAAGCATTTGAACACGACTTCTATAGACAGCACAGATAAATAACTCAACAAATTTAATTGGAACTTATTAAAACCTATATAATAACTCATATGTGACCATATTCTGCAACAGACCATAAAGGTACTTAATAGGCCCACTATTATTAGGGGAAGGTACACTGGGATTGGGCATGGGTAACCGTAAAAAGGCATGAGGATTACAAATGGTAATTGAGGAAAAGCTGAGAGTAAGAGTAGGTGCTTTTGCAGTACAGGGGTCTCTTTTATTGTTGGCATCATATTTACCATTTATATTTCTAATACTGAAACAGAAGCATTCTTCCTCTGAATTTAGTGGCTATTTTAATATTAAATAGTGTTACAGTTTCACTTGTTCAATCCAATTCCTTTCAAGCGGTATCAAAGATCCTAGCCTAGAAGCATTTGGTGTCTATCATAATGGAAGCATGGGAAGGGCTGAGAACAGGGAGCAGCCAACAATTACAAATTTTGATGAGAAGAGAGAGGCTTATAGGCGGGTTATCCTGGTGTGAGCACTTTTATGGTAAATGAGAGTTTGGTGGAGTGGAACATTTCCACTTGAGAGCAGAAGCTTTCGAATGGTGGTCTTCTTGGAAACAAGTCAATCCAAATGAATCATGTGGACTTATGAGAAGGAGTATAAGCAATTCTAACCAGGGGTTTGACATTGCCTACTGTGTTAGAAAATATAGAGCAAGAAAACAGAAGCAGAGTTAAAAAGGAAAAGAGACAAGAAGACATCCCAGTGATAGACATACACGGATATTTAGATTTTCAACTCATAAATTAAAATAAAATTGGACGTGAATATTTAGGAATACAGCTCAGTGAATTTCTATAGAAAACACCAACAACATGGATTCTTTAGACGGGAAAAAGCACCTTTCCACTAGACATAGCTAATTCTCCCAACTGTTTCCATTTAGACTCACTCCTCACTTCTATAGCAATAGCCTGCAAAAAAGAGAGGGTGAATATTACTCCCAGTATAAACTGACAAATTAAACTCATTAAAACAAGAAATAAAGAAAATTGGATGGCCGGGTTATGAGATTTCGCAAGCCAGGTAATACTGCCTTCCTCAGAGGGGAGAACTTACCTTTGCAACCTCTAATCTTCCAAGCTGTATGGCAAGATCGAATCTGTACTCAGGGTCAGTAGCAACTTCAATAGCATCCTCTATCATGCCTCGTGATTCCAGGAAATGAGCCACACTACCATAGAAACAAGTATTACAATTAGAAATATATTATAAATATATTATAAATCTACGACATATAAATAATATGTAATAGAAATATATTATAAATCTACGACATATAAATAATATGTGCTACATATCCCGTACAAAATTATAGATTATAATCATAAAAGCGTGCCAAGCAATGATAAATAATATGGAAGCAGACTAGATAGAATCTAGACTAACATATCAAAATGGGCAAGAAGCAAAGTGCCACAAAATGCAAACTAATAATAGCCTTTGCAAAAACAAAAATGCAAACTAACAGCTTATAATCATATAAACGTCAAAAGATTCTCTCTAAACCATATAAGATTCACTTTTATGTCACAGCAGGTTGACATTTTACTCGGGATCAGACCAGAACAATTAGAGCATAAAGATAGAAAGGGCATGTAGTGCATGACAATTATCTACATACGCATTCTGTTTTTCAGTAAGTACATTTTCATAATTTTATACAGCATAACCCATTGAAGGTAAAGCATTTCTTTAAAACATATAAAACATAATTACAAAATATGAAAGGAAAGGTCATTATGCAACAAAGAAACCCAAAAAAAAAGTAAATACTACCTATTATGATGCTCTTTTGGAATTGATGGTAGAATTTCATTAGCCCTTTCCAAATCACCACGCAACACGAGAGTCTTGTACTCAATCAAGCTTAAAAGGAGTGTGTAGCCCACAACACTGAAGAACAGTCGAGAAAAAGAAAAATAATCAAGATTACAGCACAATACATTATGAATAATGCAAGCAGTTGTCCCACTTACTTGAATTCTTTGTCGATCAAATAAACCCTACTTTGGCTGGCAAGATATCCCAACAAGTACATTGGACGGTCCAAGTGAAACATTGTTGTTACCTATATTCATTTATGAACCAACAGATTTCATATGATCCTTGTATTCAACAAATATTTTATTTATTTGCTATTAGAAGAAATTCATTACGCCAAAGAAAAGATAATTACAAAGAGTTCAATAAATAAATATGGAGTTCCTTTGAAGGTAAAAGGAAAGAGTTAATACCTCGCCACCAACACAGTAATTAAGCCTCCAAGAAGAATTGGTATAGATAAAACAATCCCCAACCCAGACCCCTGTCCTGACACGTTCACTCATTTCATGAAGGAGCTCAAAGGCATCTTCAACACCTTGCTCATCCACAGATCCCCCGCTATCTAAATATGATGAAACAACATCACGCTGCAACAGTAGAAATAAAATGTTTACACCAAATATTAATTCAAACGAAAAGACGGGGAAAGCATAACCACTTAAGAAAAATCGAAAAACTATAAGAAAATCAGGTCAATCAGAAAACTCACATTATACTTTAGAATGTAGAATGATGCATCACTAGCAATCGCCACTAGATCACCGCTATCAGCCCAGTAGAGGTTCTGACCCAACGAAAAAATAAGAAAATTTACAAGTAAGAAGGGGGCTAGACTAAAACCAAAAAAAAAAAAAAAAGCTAGGGATCAGTTCGATTGTAGAAAATTTTGTTTTCATATTGCTTTCGACTTTAATCACAAAAATGTCCAATCATTTTCACAACAATGGAAACAACTTTTATTATTTTCACTGTTTAATATATAAAACTTTGAAGATAGGATACAAAGTGCCATTTTTGTAATTAAAACAAAAAATAAAATAAAATAAAAACCAGACCCTAGACATCACTGCATGAAAGCACTTACTTTCACATTCACATCAATGCGCCTAATCAATCTGCATTCAGCCCAATCATAAAAGCAGATAAAATCATTTGAGCACATTGCCAATACAGTACCACCAAATATTCGTTCTGCTGAAAAAGTCGGTCGGATACTCTTCTTTTCCTAAAATAGGAAAACATCTTGACTTCAATTAAAACTTCCTAGAGAAAACTTATTTGAGTAAGCAGACAGCAAAAGCAATAAGAGAATTTTATTTTGAGAACCAAGTCAGTATTTCTATTAAGGAAAAATCAATTGCCAGCATTATTATTATTTTTTTGGTCCTTTCCATAAATAGTAAATCAATAAACGGACCCATTTTACTTGCAATTTAAAGAAACATTAAGGATTAGTTGGTTGTTACTGTCATTTTCATCTTCAATCACAAAATGGATAAAATAGGAGTATTACGAAGTGAACTTCAAACCTGGAAAGTTTTGCTGAAAATTTTAATCTTTGAAGTACTTTCTCTTACAGCATACTCTCCATCCGAAGACCAAACAATTTCGAGAGCTGAACCAAATGATCTATTTCTCCATGCCAAGGCAGTATATATAATAAATTCACCATCCCCACAAACAACAACAAACCTCCCATTTGGATTGTGCCTTAAACTCTGAATATACAAAAGAAAATCACAAGTCAGTCAAAATAAGTGTTTTAAAAACTGAACCGGACCAGACAGTCGAACCGGGAACCGGAGGGGTCACCAGTTTGATCTAATTGTGAATTGGGTAAGCTATTGAACTAGTGAGAACCGACCAAAACCGATGAACCGGCGGGTTAAATGTTTCTTTTCTTTTTTTGACAAAACAACGCCGTTTTGATTAAAAAAATTAAAATATAAGTAGCCTTTGCTCAACTTATTTGAAACAACTTTCCCTCCTCAGAATTAAATTTATTAGACAAATTATTTTGTTATTCAGTATATATTGCAATTAGACTTTAAAATTTATTTGGATTTGCATTTTGTACTAATTTGTTGTATTTTGTTGTGTGTGATGATTATGTTTAAAATTTGAATTTAAAGAATGAACTTGTAAAATTACGATATTTTGAGATTTTGTGGGTGTCGTGATTTTTTTAGAGATCAAGTCATCCGGTTCGACAGGTTTAATAGCTATATAGTTTTGTTATAGAGATTAGTTTATTCAACGAGTTATCAGATTAATCCGGTTTAGTTATGTGGTTCAACCAGTGACCCAGTGATTCAACCAATGAACACGGTACCCTCACCAGTTTGATGACCGGTTCGGTTTATTGACTCAAAGTACAAGAAGAAACAAATTAAAAATGGTAATTGAAGCCAAAAAAATTGGATTAAGCTCATTTCTCAAGTATGGACTAATGACTACACAATGATAGTACCGTTTTTCTTGTCATTAACTTTTGAATTCACAACTCAGAAGTTAAATAATATTTTTTGGTCAAGATCACCGGCATTCGAAAGTCACATTAAACCCTAACTAATCCGAGTTAAGCTGGATTGACCCGAGGGAAAAACTTTCCCAGCACCTATTTTTATCATCCTCCCAGACCTTGATTAAGGAAAACCTAACTTTATTTTAAACAATACTCATTAATACCCAGATTATATACTGCAGAGGAATGGTGATGACCAATTGAATCCTATAAAACAATAACAGACCTTTTGCATACAGTATTAAAATATTTTAAAAATGGCCAGGTTTGATAAAAATGAATACAAACAAAATAAAGATGATAGAGATAAATATATCAAAATGCCTGAATTGCTAAATAATGTTGTTGATATTTGTAAATATAGTGTTAAGAATATTTGTATATAGAATAGTTCCACATCAACTATATCATGTAATCAGTTGTAATCTCTCTATATATAATAATGTCTCCGTAGTGCTTTTCAAGACACAATGGTTTATTCATATGTCTTTTAGTCTCTTGTATTCCAACATGGTATAAAGAGCCTCAATTAAGATCCGGTGGGCCACCTTCTATTAGGTTTCCGTTATTGGGTCACCCACCATTTATTTTCACGCTCCAGATGTCCAGTCCTGGGCGTGAGGGGGTGTGTTAAGAGTCCCACATCGGACAATATATGGCATGAACATGTGTTTATAAGTGGGAGCAATCCTCGCTCTACCAACCGGTTTTGTAGAGTTGAGTTACGTCCAATCCACATTTCTCAACATGGTATGTATCTAGAGTCTGCTAAGAGGCAATTTTGTCTTCCGGTGAGAAATTTACTTTTTTATTTTTTATTTTTTTTGCAAACTGTGTTGTCACTCCGGTTTGTCTCTCACTTTTCAAAATTCTTCAGTGACCACCTTGTCGCCGTTACTGTTCCGCCAAAACTTCTGGCGACGTTTCAGAAAGCCGACCCTACCATCAGTTTTCAATATTCTCCGGTTATAACCGCATAGCCACCGCCGTCGCTACTATTCCCGATGACCTTCAGGCAAACTTTTTTACCTACAGGAACCTCCCCAGGCACCCACACGCGCCACCTCCGTCTCCGCGCGTGGGCATCACGCGTCGCCACCTGAACCGCATGTGCCAACACGTCCGGAGACCGATCGCATGACATTCTCTCTCTTCAAATACTCATGGCTACTCCTCAGAACTTTACGCCAAACTACAATGACTTCTTCAAGTATCAAAATTATCAGAACTCAGATTCTACTGCTACAGTAGCACACTGGTAATTCATCTGTTTGTCTCCCAAACATCTCCTCTTCGCTGGTGCGTCTGATCATGTTATTGGTAATAAAAATCTTTTCTCTTCCCTCTCTGCCTCTGGTTTCTTACCTACTATAACTTCTGCCAATGATTCTCAAATCCGATCCGAAGGGATTGGTACAGTTCAAATTCTACCTTCTCTCTCTGTTACTTTTGTCCTTTATGTACCTAATTGTCCATTTTATTTACTTTCATTCAGTCGTTTAACTCATTCTCTTGATTGTAGTATCACCTTCACTAACAATAATGTTATCCTGTAGGATCGAAGTTCGGGACGGATGATTGGCGTCAGATATGAGTCTCAAGGCCTTTATTACCTCTCATTGTCATCTTAGACATGCTTAGCCAAAGATTCTTCACTCACTATCCATGCTCAGTTAGGTCATCTCAGTCTTTCCAAATTACATAAGTTGGTGTCAAATTTATCGAAGGTATCTCATTTACATTGTGAATCGTGCCAGTTAGGGAAACACACTCGTAGTCAATTTTCCAATCGAGTCAACATACGAGCTTCGTCCCATTTTGCTTTAGTTCACACTGATGTTTGTGGTCCCTCGCGTACTGTCTCTACTCTTGAGTCTAAGTATTTTGCCACCTTTATAGATGATTTTTCACGTTACACGTGGTTATTTTTAATGATGAATAGATCTGAATTATTTTCTATTTTTGAACAATTTTATCAAGAAATAAAAACTCAATTCGGTGTGTATCCGTACCTTAAGAAGTGACAGTGCCCGTGAATATTATCCCAACAATTTCAAAATTTTATGTCACACAATGGTATTCTCCATCAAACATCCTGCACTCACACCTTAACAAAACGGTGTAGCTGAACGCAAAAATCGGCATCTCGTAGAAACCACTCGGACCCTACTTCTCCATGGTAATGTTCAACTTCGGTTTTTGGGGGATGTTGTGCTAACGGCATGTTACCATATAAATCGCATGCCCTCATCAGTCCTTAACAATAAAATTCCTCATTCAATCTTTTTTTCCAGTTCCCCACTTCACCCAATTCCTCCCCGAGTCTTTGGGTCCCACATGTTTTGTACACAATCTCTCCCCTAGTCTTGATAAACTATCAACTCGATCACTAAGGTGTGTCTTTCATGGTTATCATCGATCCCAAAAAGGTTATCGTCATTATTCACATACTCTACAACGATACCTCATATCAGTCAATGTTACCTTCTTCGGGTTTGTTCCATATTTCAAGTCTAACCAAGCAACTCCGGAACCCCTTCAAGAAAGTATTCTCACACCTCTTCCGGAAGTCTCATCTGTCATTGTCCCCATCATTTATGGAACCTAGCCCACTAAATAGGCCTACAGTTGACCCCCCCCCCCCCCCACTTCTCGCCCACTTCAAACATATCAGCGTCGTCAACCAATGTCTGTCGTACCCGTTCCTAAGGTCGTACTTGTCCCTGAGGTCATTGCAGACTCTCCTCCGACACTCTCACCATCACCGGGTCCGATCCTGCCACCTGAGTCCGATCTTCTAATTGCCCTTCGAAAAGGTATATGTCAAACACGAAATCCTTCTCCACATTATATTGATTTATGTTATCATCGTCTTTCTCCTAGCCAAAATACTTGTTTGTCTTCTTTGTCTTCTATTTCTATTCCTAAAAATCCAGGTGAAGCATTATCTCACCCTGAATGGTAGCCAAAGGATACACTCAGATTTTTGGGTTGGATTATAGTGATACCTTCTCGCCTATAGCTAAGATGGCATCTGTTAAACTTCTTCTAGTCATTGCAGTCATTCGACATTGGTCTCTTCACCAACTTGACATTAAAAATGTTTCTTTACATGGAGATCTTGAAGAGGAAGTATATATGGAGCAACCAACTAGGTTTGTTGCTCAGGGGGAGTCATCGAATATGGTGTGTAGGCTACACAGGTCTCTTTATGGTCTTAAGCAATCTCCGAGAGCTTGGTTTGGCAGATTCAGCATTGTAGTACGACAGTTTGAAATGGTCCGTAGTGAAGCTGATCATTCTGTTTTTTATCGTCACTTAGCTCAATGGTGTATTTATCTTATTGTGTATGTAGACAATATTGTCATAACTGATAGTGATCAACAGAGAATACTCCAGTTAAAACAACATTTCTCGAATCAATTTCAGACAAAAGATCTTGATAAACTTCGTTATTTCTTGGGTATTGAGGTAGCTCAAACTAACGATGGTTTGGTAATTTCAGCAAAAATATACTATGGATATTCCTATGGATCCAAGTGTCAAACTACTACCAATTAAAGGGAGCTTCTATCTGACTCAGAAAGGTATAGGAGATTGGTTGGAAAGTTGAATTATCTCACAGTCACTCGTCCGGCCATTTCTTTTGCAGTCAATGTGGTAAGTCAGTTCTTAAATTCCCCCTGTCAGGAACACATGGATGTTGTTATTCGGATTCTGAGATACATCAAATGTGCTCTAGAAAAATGTCTAGTGTATGAAGATAAAGGACATACTCAGATAATTGGATATTCAGATGCTGATTGGGTAGGGTCACCCATTGATAGACGATTTACTTCTGGTTATTGTGTACTTGTTGGAGAAAACCTTATATCCTAGAAGAGTAGGAAACAAAACGTTGTTACAAGATCAAGCGCCGAGGCAGAGTATAAGGTCATGGCAATGGAAACATGTGAACTTATTTGTGATAATCAAGTTGCATTGCACATTGCTTCAAATCCAGTCTTCCATGAAAGGACCAAACATATTGAGATAAACTGTGACTTGATCAGAGAGAAGATCGAGTCAGGTGACATCGTCATAAGCTTTGTCAACCCTAATGATCAATTGGCAAACATGTTTACAAAATCCCTCCGAAGCCCCAGAACTAATTATATATGTAACAAGCTTAGTGCATTTCACTTATATGCTCAAGCTTGAGGGGAAGTGTTGATATTTGTAAATATAGTGTTAAAAATATTTGTCTATAAAATAGTCTCACATTGACTATATCATGTAATTAGTTGTAATCTCTCTATATATAATATATATAATAATGTCTTCGTAGTGCTTTTCAAGACACGATTTATTCTATTCATATACTCTTAATCTCTTGTATTTCAACAAATTTAAATATGTTTGCTTCCTAAATCTGTTAAGAGGGCCATACAACGTGAGCACAATTGACAACAATGTAGATAGGTAATGCAAAATATGGAAACAAAATAGTAAGATAAAGGGTATCCACTCACTTGTGGATAGAGATCACAGGTGCCCAACTCTTTAACAGCCAAGGATAACCTTTCTCCATCAGCAATCTAAAAAGCACAGTATTTGTCTGTCATTAATAAAAAAATAAGTTTTCATTTCTTGCTTGCATATTATATTGCCAAGTAATAAGCACATACCTCCACATCTGCTCCAACACTCCTTATATTGACAGTTTGAATCTCATTATGCTTAGCCCAAATGACCTTCCCGCTGTTGTCCATGCTAGCTACAGGTTCTTCTCGGCCGAGTTTAACCATTATAGTTCCTTCATCATAGCCAATCACAACCCTACAAAGATAGATGATTTGGTAATGTAGGTCATGATGGGGGATCAAATAGAGAGATACTAATTTTTTAATAGAAGAAAAAGTGAAAGAGACTCTGCGTCTATCGAGAGATCAAAGCAAACAAAATCACATGAAATATAAAAGAAAACAATGTTTTCTAATCAGAGATATAAATACTTCATTTTAGAGGCAATACTTGACACTGTAGTCTCAGTGAAAATGAAATGATTCAAGGGCCCAAGTATGAAACTCAGAAATTACTTGCAGATATTTTCTTAAAAAATAAAACTCACCGACGTGAACCCTTCAGGTATCCAATAGCCCAAACTCTTTCGAGACCATAGTTCAATGTGTTCTCAAGCCTGCAAGCAGATTCAACCGCCATAACGTTTTTAAAAAACATTGACTAGAATATATGCATAATCTCAATATAATAATAGTAGAATCTTCATAAGTGTAACGTGGAAAAAGTAAACAACATAATATGATTATTGATAAAAGAATTAGAAAACACAATCTAGTCTCTGCTATTCAGAATTTCAACATTGTCGATTCTCAAGTGAATGTCAAATTTAGACATAATTGTCATCATAAGATAGCTGACACAACAAGTAACAGTATCATAGTTTTTTTAATGAAAAGACATATTTGAATAAGGTCTTGTTCTAAGAACAAAAGTCAACCGAAGACAAACTATTCAAGTTCCTATAAGAGAGTGATGACATGACACAAAAAAAGCATGAGGAATGTACCAAATAGAATAAGACAAAACTCAACTAGGTATTCTGTGAACAGCATCAACATACCTATAAGTTGTTGAATGCCAAATGCGGACTGTACCATCCTCGGAGCCAGTAATGATAATAGGAAGTTCAGGATGAAAGCATACGGCAGATACATTGTGGGTGTGACCATCTAGAGTCTGGACACAACTTTTGGTCTGATAATCCCATACCTGTTTCATGGGTTATATATGACTATTAATTGTTGCGGATATATACACATAAAGGATAACAAATCAATGGGTAGACGAAGAGTAAAGAAAAAAAAAAGAAAACAAACCTTGGCAGTGTGATCATCAGAACCAGTAATTAGATAAGGTTTGTCGCCACCAGTAAAGTAATCAACGCAATTAACTCCCTTTTGATGGGCATCCAGTGTAAAATTAGGGTCAGGAGAACCAAGATTCCATATCTGCAAGGGGAATATAATGATGTTTATGCATAATATTATTGCATTGGTGCATGTAAATAAATAAAAATGCCGGAAAAATCGGATGAAAAGAACACATTTAAACCTTTATGGTCCGATCAAGAGATGCGCTAGCAAAGGTGTTTGTATCTTTAGGGTTGAATGTCACTTGCATGACATAATGAGAATGTCCCTCAAATATCTGGGTACAGATCCAGCCTTTTTCCCAATCCCAGAGCTTTATGAGCATATCGTCAGACGACGATAGCACGTAGGGAAGGGTGGGATGAACAGCCACACACCTAATGTAATCTGTGTGTGCCTCAAATACTTTAACTTTATCCATTGTGTTGTAATTATATACACGAATAAACATATCATCTGCTCCTGCAACAACCCACTGTTTGCGTGCAATAAACTTGGCTGACCTAACTGCAAAACGATGATATATTTAAGACAAATAAAATATATGAAGAAAACAATGGCTTCGAGCAAATGAATCAAGAGGCAGATTTAGAAACAATAAAATTAGCAGACTGAAAGAAGCTCACGCACCAGGTAACTCAGTAACCTCAAAAGACTTAGCCATGGTCTGAAATAGAAAGAAAAAAATTGAAGTTAATTGCACAAGCAAAATTATTATAGAAACTTATAACGAATGTTTGTACAGAGATAGGCCTGCGAAACAGTGTATCCATGAATCTATGATAGAAAAAGCAAAAAGTACATGCCTCACACAGAGAACATTAGTGGAACCAGCAAAATACAACATGCAGAATATACAACTGTACAAGAACAAAATTCTTCCTAGCCAGTGTTACATCTTCTTTGGATATATAAGAGGGGCAAATAATGTGTAGTCAATGCTGATAATAAATCTTATAAAGCACAAACCTCCCTACACTAAGAAAATGTACCTCAAACAGGTCAGCTAACAAAATGTACCTCCTCACAAATAAGTAAATCAACCAAAATGCGCAAATAAATCACATGGTATGGGGAGGGAAATGATAAGATAAACAAAGTGGAGGTAAATCAGCCTATTAGGAATTTGAATCCAGGTTCAAACAGGTTAGCCCAAAGGAACTTGGGGCCACTTGTGCTAATAGGAAATTTCTTCCTATCAATTTATTTACAGGGGTAGTTTTACAAAACACTACCCAGTCTCGATCTGCTTATAAATATAAAATGCTACAGTAATTTCCGACGAATCCTCAACAGAAAATATCACTGAAAGAGCTGTTTTATTCACTAAAAGATCACAATATAAATTGCTACATGTATTGAGCCGGAGTCTTCCTTCTAACTTTGTATAAAAGGAAAATCATTCTACATATCATCACAATTTAGGAGTTAATGAGAACCAGTTTTTATATGAAGGAATTTATTTATTTATTTGTAACTTAATATACAAAAGTGGATAAATCAAATGCTACATCGGTCTCTAATATAAATAAAAACTCATTTGGTGGTCGAAAATATAAGCAAATCTTAAGTAGTTTTACCATATTAAATGATAAATGATGTCATTCCTAAAAAAGAAAGAGAAAGAATATGTGGCTGCTTTAAATATGAAGTAGTAAAAATAGTTTTCTTCATTCATGAATCAGCCATTCATTACATATAGGCACCATGCAAAAGGTAGCTTGTCTGGAGACCAATCAACAAACACCTGTGTCTGACTCATGTGCCAACATACATCAATTAAATTTCGTAATTTTTATATGCTCTAAGTTATAACAATATAAAAACAACTACAACAACAACAGCGGAGCTTAATCCCAGTAAGTGAGGTCGGCTGCATGGATCAACTTTCGCCAAACAATATAAAACATCTGAATTATAAAAATTGACGCACCTGAGATTGGTAGTTCCAGATACAGAGAGTCCCGGAGTATAAACTTGCTAGAATCCTGCATTAATAATGGTAAAACGCCGCAACTCAGCAAAAAAAAATCCAAGTATCACTATTCACATAGATGGCACACTTGAGAAAGACCAAATGAATGAAACCAATTCCACAAAACAAGAAACAAAATATAAACTGGCTTTGAATTTAAAGTTTAGTTTCATTTCATTAAACTAATTCCATAGAAGAAATCACAGGTATATTACCATGGCTCTGTTGGATGTAGATCCACAGACTTAACTCTTTCGGATCTTTGTGCAAGCTTTCTCTGATCAAATTATAAAATTACAGAACAACACATAAGTTTAATCAACCAGAAACCTAAACATTTGCAATTTGTTAATTTGCTGAGAAATCTAATTCATAGCTAATTAAACATTTCTCAGCAAGCAAATATAAAATTAACCTCAAATCAAAGTGAAAACAAAAGTACCTTGATTTCAAGTCTGAGAGGCTGCAAAATCAATCAAACAAAAAGGAATCAATGCACAATTCCATAATAGATTGGATCGCAAAGTACTAAAATAATTGAACTACCATAGCAAAATCATGAGGCGGTTCCTAAATTATAAGCACGAGGAAGTGAAATTCGAAAGCGTAATATGAAAAACGTGAAATCGAAGCGAGCGAGTTCCAGATCTAAGGTTATGTTGAGAAAAGTGAGACGTTTTGGTTGAGAGAAGAGATCGAAGAGGAAACTTACCATTTCTGAAGATTGGAGAAACTAGCTAGATTTGATTGAGAATGAGAAAGCTCGTTGAAGATCCAGAAGCGAATTTTGAAGAGCCCTAGAAGAGCAGAGCAGGGTACAGATATGAAATCGACGGGGAAGAAAGAGAGAAGGGAGTGATGCTTTGCAGTTGTAACATGGATTTACGATAATGCCACTGGGAGAAGCAATGGTTCAACAAATAAGATAGTGAAATGCAATGTAAGGAATGAATGGAAAATCAAAACTGAGATCTAGCTAATGGTACTAAAAACTAAAACTAACTCAAAATTATTTTATTTGAATTTGTTTTTTTTTTTTACAAGTAGGAAAAAGAAAAAGAAAAAAGAAAAAACATAAAATCATTTGAAATATAAAATTTCTCTGACATCATCCTAGGAGAGTGATAATTCTAACACGAGATTCTGCAAAATATTGATATGTTATATTATAATCAACCTCATGCTTTACTAAGTAGTCAAAATAATCTTTTTTTTTAAAGAGTATTAAATATTTGAACTCGTCATTTCCTAAAGAAAAATTCTTTAATATTGTGAAGAATCGCGACATAGTGATATCAAATATCAGCAGACTCTGAGATAAGCTTGATAGCATAGTTGGAGTCAGAATGATGCATTAGGTCTTTGATGTCAAGTTCCCAGACCATAAGCAAATCATGATATATCGTCATAAGCTTAACATGAAGTATGTCGAAATAACCAATATTACCCACAAAACTGTGAACCCAAGCACCATCAGCATTTTGAATCATTTTCCCAAAACCTGATACGTCGGGATTACCGAGTCTATTACCATCAACATTCAGAATTATATTACTACCTTTGTATGCATTCTACGTTATTGTTCTTGTTGAATGAGATAGATTATGCTTGAGAAATATTTAGCTAACAAATTACCATAATTCATTGTGATGAGTTTCAAAGTATAAAAAGATATCATTTCATTCACAAGACACAGTATGTTTCTAGCACACCACAACCATCAACAAGCAAGCAAAAAGATAGAACCAACATCGATGTCATGTCTAACCTAATCATATAAATTATCCCCTTGGAAGAATAATGCGTCCAAAAAGTCAAAGATTTCCAAAAGCGAGTAGTAAATTCATAATTTATCGGACATGATAGAGTCGTTTAAGCGTCCTGATTGCATATAAGACAGAGATCCGTCTGGAGTAATACCACGATGACACAACATCGATCTCGTTGAAAGGGACATATGTAAAGTCGTCCAAAGGAAGAACTTCACAATTTCATGAGCAAGGATCACCCACTTACAAGAGTTATAATTGTTGTATTCTGAACAAATGCAAGTTTGTTGAGTCAGTTATAACTATCTCAAGCAGTATATATACCATCTAAATTTCCTCTCCAGGTTCACCAATCAAGCACCATATAATTCAAATAAATGGAAAGCACTTTCAGGTGGTCACGGACAACCAGACAAATATTAGTATATAATAAATTGAAGTTTCATTTCTCATCCAAGTAAACATCATTCACTCGCATTTCTAGGTCGTGGATATCCATACAAAGAACCTGCTCCGCCAATTTCGCTACTTTATACCAATTAAAAAAACTAGGAATAGGAGTTCACATCCCATAATCTAAATTTAAAGTCATCCTTAAGAGTAGAGAAAGCTTTCATAATAGCATTCCATGTAACTGATCCCGGTTTCTTTTTCATATTAAGGAATGTTTCCTCACTAATGTACTTATGCTTAAAAATATGACTCATAGGGAATCACAATCCCAGTGGAAACCCAAAACCAGCTTACCTAACATATAAATATTGGCCTCTCGTGCTTTTCGGATCCTAAGAACACCCAACTTTTTAGGCTTAGTAATTTCATTCCAGCGAACAAGATGCACACCAAAGTTTGAACTAGCTTTCAAAAAAAAATTCTTAGTCATCCTATCAATAAAATCACAAGTTGGTCGAGGTAGACAAGTGCCTTGCATATAATAATTTGGGATGGATTTCATGACAGAGCTAAGCAGAGTCAAACGACTAGCCTTGTTTAACAATTTGTGTTGCCATAGTGCTAACCTCTAACTGATTTTCTTCCATAGGAACTCAAAGTCCTTACATTGAAGAAGGTCATGCAACATAGGGAAACCCAAGTATTTCTCTAAAGTAAGAGCTTGTCTGATACATGTTTTAGAGACAATTAAATTCATTTTACTCCTCTTGGTGGTAGCGGAAAGGAAAACCTTTGATTTAGCAACGTTCACTTTAAGGCCATAAAACATGGCAAAACGAATCAAGACATCATAAATGGTATGCGCATGTGAGTTAGAAACCTTCACAAGAAAAAGAACATTATCAGCAAAAAATAAATGTGATAGAGGGGGTTTATTACGAGATAATCTGACTAGTTTCCATTAGTCTTCATCAACTTCCTTGATGATTGTTTGCGACAAGAATTCCATGGAGATAACAAATATATAGGGTGAAAGGGCGTCACCTTTTCGTGATCCTCTAGTCAAAACAAAATTTGATAGTCGTCTCTCATTCTAAAGAATATATATAAATGAGCTAGTTACATAATGCATGATCAACTTTATAGTAATGGGAGTGAACCTGTTTCGCCTCAAACAAAATTCACAAAATTCTAAACTAATATTATCATAGGTCTTTTCAATATCTAATTTGAACACCATGTCGACTTTTTTCTTTTCAGATTTATGCATATGATGAATTGTTTCTTTGAGGAAATGGCATTATCAATTTTCCCTTTATTAGACAAAAAACTATCATGAAGGGTCTAACTATTTGATTTAGATAAGGGCTTAATTTGTTAGCATAATCTTCATAATAAGCTTGTAAATTGTGTTGCACAAGCTAACGAACATGAATTTCTTAAAATTTTGGGGGTAATCTACCTTGAGAATTAATGCGACAAGAGTCTCTGAAAGAGAGGGGGTGAAAACTACATGTCACAAAAGCATATGATATAAGTTAGACATCGTCATCTCTAACTATATGCCAAAACTATTTAAAGAAATTACCCTGGAATCAACCAGGGTCAAACGCCTTCAAATAGTGTTAGGCTTCTTCAATAAGGAATGAAGTCATAGTTAAGTCACCCATACTAGTAAGAAGTATATACGATGTAGGGCAAAAAATACCTTTAAAAAAATTAGTGATTCTTCCTTGATCATAGTGTCATCATTGCATCAAACATTGTTGGAAAGATGAAGGTCATGGAATATATTTCTCTTCTGCTTTATTATCGTCTTTTGGTATGGAAAACTTTGGTGTTACGATCTCCCAATTTAGTCTAATCATCTCTAGCATTTTGATATAAATTAATCTCTTTTTGCTCAATGATCTCATCATACTCCTGTTGAAGCTTATGTTGGAGATAAACTAGTCTTATTGTATCTATTCTCTCTAAATTGCATTGGATACCCCTAAGTCTCTTCTCAATGTTGTGCTTCTATTTGGTGATATTGCCAAAAGTTTCCCTATTAAAAAAGATGGAATTATGATGTATATTTTTGGTACAAGTTACAATGTCATGTGAGGATTTCCCCCGAGCAGTCAATACTATGTTGGAGTATTCTGGGTGACTGATCCAAGCTGCCTCAAACCTACAAGGATGCGACCTGTGGTTTTAGAGGGGAAGGCCACACATAAGAAGAATGGGGTTGTAATCCGAATGAAATTTATACAACATCTCAACATATGCATAAGGGAAAGCCATGCGTCAAGCAACATCAACCAGGGTTCTATATGTGACACCTTAAACCCAAATCTTTTTTTTTTGTAGATATAAATTGCGGAATAATTTATATAAAAAATAACATAAAAAACACAGGGTATCATACATTACTCATAACATACATAAGCAAATTCCCATACTCGGGGAACATGTTCGGGATTCACAATAAAACATTGAAAAGTAAAAAACACAAAATTCTTTTAAATTGCAACCCCATTTCTAATGTCACTGTACCAGAACTTCATTTAGACTTAATCCCTAACTGACTAACATATGTCAACAACACAATACACATAAGACCGAGATGATCTTCTACACCATCTTCACTAGATCTCTTCTTGAAGAAACTACTCATCAGTCTCATCTTGAGGGTATCATGTTCAAAGGTACATCATACAAATAAGAAAGCATCAGAGTAAGAATATATTTTACAAAATAACTGTATAAAAATAGCAAGGTAGTATAATGCAAATATTCACAATCGTCATCACAATATGGCAAATATCATATTAATTCATACAATCACACGTCAACGCACATGAATGATATGTAATGCATGTTAACCTTTATTATGTGTGCTTGTGGTACCAAACACTAAACTCGTAGTATATTCATGGAAGTACATGAAGGATACACTCCATACCATAATATTCTCTATAGGCTTAATAATCTAAGAGTACATTTGTGTTACATTCATACCATAACACTATCTCGAGTTCTATAACACATGAGTGTGAGGGCAAAGTGCCTTAGTACTTATTTTAATGATGTCAAAACGTGTATTAGCTAGTACTTTGTAATTTGGATGGTATCATCGCGTCTTAACTTGCATTCCTGCTTTACAATGCGCAAAATATTTTAAAATCATGTGTCTATACATATAGAAGCATCTCATATATGTCTTGAGTGTATTTGATCATGTTAGGTGACTTAGGTATGCATAAACATAGCTTAGGTGGACCAAACTATGATATTTTAAAAAAATTTGATAAACATGCATTTTTATATAATAATATAAATGATAATATATAGTGCGGATATGAGGCGAGTTGGGTACTATGATACTTGTACCCGCACTCATACCCGCTTATTTTAGTAGATATTTATCTGTACTTAGGTTCGAGTCCATTTTATAAAATTCTACCATATCCGTTGTGGGTACTTTTTGCAAATACCTATTAAATATGAGTCAAATTGTCTTCCCTACTCTAATAAGCCTCCTGCGGCGATAATTAGAATGTTTGTTCTACCAAAATCTCCAAGGCATACTTCCCTAGATTTGATGGTAAAAAAGTTTGTGACTAGCCCTACAAGCGTGATCAATTTTTTTTCTTAGAAGAAACTCCGACAACTTCGCAAGTGCGCCTTGCGTTAATTCACCTTGATGGATTAACTTTACAATGACACTTGAACTACATGCGCTTGAAATTTGATGTTTACCCACCATGGCAGTAATACGTCAATGACGTTACCACTCGATTTAGTGAAGTGTATGAGGATCCCATATCTTTTATGTTAAGATCAAACATGCCGGTAAGATTCAAGAGTATATCGATCAATTTTAGTTGGCTTTTAACACAGGCAAAACTGATCCTAGAGCATTCTCTAAGTATTTTTCTAATTACCACACTATGCATGTCAATGGGTTACATGATAAGAAACTTCTTCATATTCTTCTTGACAGTGGTAGTGCACACAATTTTCTGGATTTGGAGGTTGCAAAGTCACTTGGCTGCAAATTAGAAGATATTTCTCCACTAACAGTTACTTGTGGTGGTGGCCACCAACTCGAAGTTGCATTCATCTGTCGAAGCTTCAAATGGAAATTACAACAAGCTCAGTTCATAGGTGCAAATGGAATTCCATCTACTAGGCAGAAAATTTGTGTTAAGAGGTGCAAATATACCTAGTTTCAAGACGATTAATAACAAATAATTTGCTCATGATGTGCAAAATAGTGTTGAATTATGTATTTTAAGCATTAATAATGAGAATTCTAGTCTCATGCTGCCTACTTGCCATGTTATGCGCGCACCCGGGATCAATTATGATATTCCATCGCCTATTGTTGACTTGCTAACTCCAGTATTATGCCTTCCAGATTTCTCAAAAAAATCCATTGTTGAAACTGGCGCCTTAGGGTAAGATAATGGAGTTGTGTTAACACACATCATCTTATTTCTAAATGTCACTACCTCAGAAGTAGATATTTACATCTCTAACAATGTCCTGAGAATACAGATAAATTTGATACATATATAACTGAAATGTACTCAAGGGGAACAACAAATTCGTACTATTTCGATATAAACAACAACAAACTGATTATGATTAGTCATTTTCTGGTTCTGCTAAACAAAAAGTACAATACAAACAAGAGTAACAGAAATGTAAAGGTGTTTTCTTTGTTACACATTCTACCTTACTCGTGTGGTATTTGAATGTATGCCGCATCACAGACAAAAGGGATATCGGCATACATTCCAACAAGGGCACATCTAATGCACTCTGCGGTAGTAAAGAGAAAAACAAAAAATGCAGTAGTCCAGAAATGCATTCCAATTTGACCCCAATAAAACGCAAGCGGCATCCAACGGCTCACAATCCCGGTAACCTGTAGGGCGATCTCGATTAACATTCCGACGGCAACATGGTATCGGAAGAAATGAGGCCATTCTTTTCTCCTCACAATTGTAAGATATGCAATCAAGAAGTATGCTATGAGAGACCATCTAGGTAGACTTCCAATTGCCATAAGAAAAGGGAGCGTCATGGGCTCAAAAAACTCGATGAACGGGTGAAGATTGTATGCTGTCTGAGCATACATCCAAACCTGATGGAGAGGTAAGAGGTAAGGGATGCATGATAATGTTCTCCACCACCATCTTGGTTTTCTTTTCATCGGAGGGAATCGAAAGCCTGAGGAATCCTTCGTTGCTCGAGGAGTGGTAGAAGACTTGTGCAGCGTACGTAATGCGGGGATGGTACGAGAGAAAAGATTCTGACCCCCGCTTAAAAGTGAGCTTGATGTAGCAGACATGTCTGTTAATGTCATTCCTATCACAGAAAGATTGATAAACAACTTCAGAAAAACAAAAGCAAAGTTTTCAAGGATGGTTACTGCCAAGACGAGACGATTTAAGCAATGTAGGCAACCATTCCGATAGTCAGCTGATCAAAGTCATTGGATTGAGACCAGACATATCACGTTGTGATTTTAAAAAATCGGAAACTGGGAATCTCATCGTCTGATCTTCATAAAAGACTATGATCATTGACTGCACTATTGCAGTAAACTATATAGCACCAACACTTCACATTGAGAGCATGTCCGGTGTCAAACACCAACAAATATGTAGTTACATTCAATCGCTTCCGTTTTCTAAAACTATAAGCAATGACATGTAAGTGTCATGTTTAGTGTCTGTGTTTATGTTTGTGCTTCATAATATACACAAGTAAATATATGAAAATACGTCAAAATAGTCTCCGGTCTGCTGTTAAAATACTCAGAACCAACAAACTGAATTTTCATATACCTTCGCAACTAACAGGATAAATATTCATATACTATGGAAACCGCTTATAACTTTCACATACTTTAGACACTGACTAAGAGAGTGAGTGATACTTGAGATTTACTTTTATGGTAAATCAAATCCGGTGAGCTAACTAATTCACATCATAGAGATAATAATTCACTGTGAATCACTGACAAACACCAAACAAGACACTCACACTTCAAAACCAATAATAACTTAAGAAAATGAAACTAATTGAATTGAATTAACCACACGAGTCAGTGTCGTGTTCGCTTTGTTCGTATTCGACACTCAGACATCAAACACGACACTCGGGCACCAAACACACCTTCGATCTGAAGTGTCAATGCTACTTAACAAATGAAACTAATTGAATTGAACTAATTACATGTGTCAGTGCCGTGCCGGCATTCGAGACTCAAACACCGAACCCGCCTTCTATCCGAACTTTCAATGTCACATAATCAATGAAAAATTGAAAGAGTAAACAAATTATACCTCTTGGCTTATTTTCCAAACTATGTCCCCAGAAACTTCGGATACTCGAGACACCAACCTTAGCAGGAATTTGACAAGCATAACACAAGATAGAACCTTGGGATACAGTGCCACCATTTTGAATCATGGTTGATTGATTAACTAGTTGAACAAAACCCCCCCAAAAAAACATCAACAATAACATTAATAATAAGAAGCATAATGGAAAAATTGAATTAACAGAAATATAGGATTTGGTGAAAACATGAACGGTTACCTCAGAGAAGAAGATAAATCTGCTTGTTATTTGAATTTCGAGAGGTTATACAATGTTGTTGTTGTCGTTGTTTTTGTTCATGTTTAGGTTTATGGGATTGACCATTCATTGTTTTACACAGTAAGAAGAAGATAAACTGTGTGTGTCTGAATTGGGCTTTGTGTTTTTGTTTTGAAGAAGCGAATAAGATATTGGGCTTTGTGTTTTGAACCCAAAGAAAAAGATGGTAATTTTACAAATTCACAATAGAGGATGTCTACTTACACCCCGTTATTACTTCTCATGTTCCTTTAGTTTCATTATTTTATTTTATTTTTCTTCATACACTATCTATTTACCATAAATTTATTTTCAAACTCCTTAATTCTTAAAAAAAAATTAGTAAGTTGTTTAAATAGAGTTAAAAAAGAGAGGATGGAGTGAAAAAGAATGGAATGATTTAATAAGGAAGAATGAAGGGTTTATTTTTTTTATAACACAAAATCTATTTACTGATTTAGTTTGAGAGAAATAAAAATTTTAATTGAATGAAGGTATTGATGAAAATTTCAAATCAAATCTATGTTTTTATAATAAATTAAATATTAAAAATATATTAATAATAAGTGTTTATTTATTATCTTATACAAAACTTTTCTTTGAAAAAAGTTTAATTTTTTTTGATATTTTCATTTCTACTCGTTCAGTTTTTTGTCCTTTTTGGGTTACCACCGCATTATTGTTATCTCTGCACTAACTTCGGCAGCATCCCGACATACCACCTCCACAAATAGAATTGTCTACTTTGATCTGACATGTCCCTAGAAAATCATCGTCTCACAAGTTCACATGTCACTTTAAAGCTCTTGCGCGTGGAACTCACATGTCTCCGTCCCTACCGCGCATGACGACGCGTTTGACCCCTGATCTATTGTCTTTTTCATCGTCTTGCTCTATTTTCTGTCGTGATTCCGAATCTGCATTCATATTTTATTTTCCAGTCATCAACTCTCATGGGAGACACCGTTTTCATTACGTTTACCAAAATTTCGCTTATCCCGTGCGAGAAACTAATTGGGACATCCAACTACAACATATGAGTTGGTGTTGTCAATATGTGGTTTCAAGGCCAAATATTTGAACACCACATAATCAGATGATATTCCCGTTGTCAAACGCACTAAATGGAAACAAACTTATGTCTCTTTGTGCACTGTGTTATGGTTTTCAATAGCACATAATTTCCAAGCACATTGGCAAACATTTACCACTTGCTACGAGGTTAGGAAAAAGGCTAAAAAAGTTTTCTCTAGCTATGTTTATTGTCTTTAGGCTTAATACTTTTTTTACTCCCTTAAATTTAGTCAATGTTTCTCTTTCGTCCTTAAAAAAGCGTTACTAAAAGATTTTTCTATCAGGATAATCTCAAACCAACACCAAACTTTTAACATAGTTTGAGCTCACGAACCGACCCAGAGTTTTAATTACAAAGATCTTCCCAACTAAAGAGCAGTTTTAATTAGTTTACCTTAATACTGAGCTTTTAATATAAACTATATATATAAATTATAAGTAATAAAACATCAATTTAATTTTATTTAAGTATTTTATTCTTAAAATGCATTTTTTTAAATGTAAAATCAAATGCAAAATGCATTTAATTTACTTCCCCTCTAATTTTTTCATAAATAACGACCAATTTAAATTATTTTACATATTCTTATAAAACATATTTAAAAAACGACACTAACATTTTTTTTAATAAATGTGAAAAACTGATTTTTACTACAAAGTAGTAAACATTAATAATATTATTAAAATTTTATTTATGCGTGCCAACTATAATATTTATGTCTATGCACAAATTAACTCTAAAAAGTAGCAGTTTTTCTAAAATCGAGATAAAAAAATCCTTATTAAATTAAAGCTTTAATTTTAAAATCCAGGTCTTATGTTTTATCAGATATTTTAGACCAATTCATATAAGGAAAATGCTGTTTTAGAAGTACATATTAAGATATTAAAAAAAGTAAGTTGAATATTTTTTAAGAGATTATAAATACATGTTTTTTCTAAAAATATATATATTCAATGCATTGAACACATAAATAGTTAACTTTAAAAAAAATCCTATATGCATTTATTGAATTAAATAAAATATATTTTTCTTATTTAAATTTTTTAACGAAATTAACATGACCTTTCATATAAATTATCTCCATACTTTAAAAACATCCTTTAAAGGATTTGCTTATAATTTCATTATTGACTATAACATTTTATTTGTGCATAATCTCCATACTTTTTAAGTATGACACCAATTCTAGTTGAAGCATTCATGTTCATTTATAGTGAATTCTGTCTAGACCCCCACACCTTAATTTAGAAGGCATTTTCAGTGGGTTTTGAACCTTTGCACAAGATAAAGTAGGCCACATTTGGGTCAACCCCATATAGAGTCCAATATGTCAACTTAGCCACATCTTGTGGTCCAGTGTACCTAATGCACTTCCCTACATTAGGTCATATATCTCTTATATATATATATATATATATATATATATATATATATATATATATATATATATATATATATATATATATATATATATATATATATATATATATATATATATATATATATATATATATATATATATATATATATATATATATATATATATATATATATATATATATATATATATATATATATATATATATATATATATATATATATATATATATATATATATATATATATATATATATATATATATATATATATATATATATATATATATATATATATATATATATATATATATATATATATATATATATGAGAAATGTCACAAATTCAAATTCATATCTATACGATTAATATTTTTGTCAATTTATCAACTGAGTTGTTATAGCGGAACATCTTTTCATATTTTTGGGTTAAAGAATAGTAAATATAATGTATTTTAGATGAGATGATCTTGAATATGATAACCTTAAATAATAATTTATATATGATTAGTTAAATTACAAAACAAATAATTTTTAGAGTCAAAAGTTTAAATAATTGTCTTGTAATACTTTTTATTTTAATCGGTGGACGTTATCATTAAAAGAAAAATATAGTGATCAGTGTTTAAATATTGAATTTCACATAAAAATATTATCACATACAAATTATTAATCTATATCAAATTGACACAATTAAGTGTTTAAAAATTATTTTCTTTAAGATAATGCACTCTTGAATTTTTTTTTTTTTAATGTTTACTACTTTTCCATGGCCGAATCAGAATGACAGAGAGTTAATAACCGTGATAGTAGAAGACAATTCTAAGATAGGGGGTATTTCAAAAAGGTTGGCAATTCTAATACTAATGTTGGAGATAGATAGTTTACGGAGGTGGTGAGTGGTAAAAGTATTCCTTTCATTTCAATTTCGAGGAAACCTAATACCCATATGATGTACTAATATAAAGAAGATGAGTTAGCGAGGTTCAAGAAGGCTTATGTGGGATTTGTGGTTAGCCCCGGAATGTCTTACAATATTCAAACTAGTTTTGAAATTGAGGGTTATTTCCCTATCAAGGTTACTTCCCTTGGAGTCAATATTTGTCTGTTAGAAGAAAGTGAAACTGGTGAAATCAGGGACATTATCAGAGAAGCTAAGAGTTAGTGGAGCTAATGGTTTTCAAAAATTAGAGAATGGAGGGAGGGAGACATCGATAAGGAAAAAGTGACTTGACTGAGATGTTATGGCATCCCTTGCCATGCATGGAATTTCTTTATTTTTTTTATAGCTTTTAGCCAACACGGTTAGGAAGTATATTTGTGTTTATGATAACACTCTTAAGGGGGGTGTATGGATGTAGCTAGATTTCTTGTTAGAATGAGTCATGCAATGGTTCTCAATGAGACCTTTAACGTACTGATATATGTGATGGGCGATTTGCAAGTGCACGAATAGTGTCAGAGTAATATAAAAGATTATCGATCCCACAGAGACCAAACGTCAATCTATCATTCGCTAGTGTTACGGTGTTTATCTAAGGCAAGTCAAATAAAATGTTAAGTTGTGCGAAATAAAAGTAAAGTGTGTAAATAAATTCAATAATAAAACAACAGGCATATATGCAATTCACATAGCTATGTAGTATTCCAAATGTGTACAGATAGGATGCCTTATGAGGTAATGTTTTATACTCGTGAAAAGAGCTAATTTAACGGGAACTGTCGCTCTCGCGTAATCAGAACCGAGTTTATCCCTAATCGATCCCTCTTATTGTCACTTATAAAAAGGCGCGTATTGCGTTAGGATTAACAAACTTATTTTTAAGAAATATAGTTTCTTGACTTAGTTGAAAAGTATTTTGACCTGTAATTTCTAACAAAAAGAGGTTCTTGCGAACCAGACTTTAAATTCATAAACGCGTCCGAAAATAATTTTAAAATCGATTTTCTTAAACATTAAAGATTCCTAATTAACTGAACCAAGCGCTTTCGCTTCCTTGGAACAGTTAAAACAAACCAAATTTATCTAAAGGTTGGACGACTTTCGATCTTACCTAACAGATTTTAAGTACAGAAAATAACTGTTAAAAGTTAAAATAACCCCTAAGTAATTCTATCGACCAACGTATGGAATACTATTATAACTACAATCCTTGCATCCTAGCCTTTAAGATTTAGCCGGACATGGTAAAGTAAATAAACATGGTAAATAAATGCGAGTAAATAAAGTGCGGGTAAAGGTGCGATAAATAAACGGTGCAAGAAATAAAAGCGGTGCGGGAAATAACAGCGAATAAATAAAAGGCGATAAATAAACAGACACCTGCTCTAAACAAGAGGCTTTAAAATCTTGTACAACTGGAAGTAAATGACAGAAATAAAATGGCGGCAGGATTAACTTCTATCTAAGTGCTCCAAACCCGATTACAGACTCGATTAGACAGTGTGATAACCCCTCAATGTGAGAAGTTTATCACTTTACAACAGGTGAAATTTATGGCTTGAGTTCTGTAACTAAGCTTGGATGGTTAGAAATGAAACAGAACTCCTCTATTTATAGTGGTAGGAAAGTACAGATAAGAATAAGAATGCCCCCAACTCCTTTTGGGAGGGAAACAAGTTTGTGAAGGTGGCGCCCGCCACCTCCTTGTGGCGCCCGCCACATGAACTAGGGTGGAAAGGAGTGGGAGATGTGGCAGTTGTCAGTAGTTTTCTTCTATCCAATGTGTGGCATCCCCTATGGCGCCCGCCATGGTGGAAGCCATGTGTACAATTCCTCAGAATGTAGGTCTTTTAGCTCGTTTTTTTTTCATTTCTTCTCGAGTAGCTTTGAAAATACAAAAACCTGAAAAAGAAACAAAACAAAGGCATAATACAAGAAACAGAAATAAAATCCTAAATAACGTGTGTAGATCGAGTCAAATAAACAGTACATTTTAGGTATATCAATATGGTGAGTCGTATATAATCAAGATGACTAAAGATTCCCATAGGCCTCTTTGTATTGCCGTTAATTCTTCAGTCTAGAAGAAGAATTAATGTCCCTATTTCCTCTTCAACTTCTGAGAGTGCTTGGAGTAAGTTCAATAAGAAGGATGTCGAGGTTGGAGGGAACAGACAATTATTCAACATGGACTATTCTGTGTTGTGACCCTACTTCTTATTCTGATATTCGTCATTACAACTTCAGGTTTTGGAAGGATTTGGAATCTAATGTAGGGGATATGGTGTGAAACGCTATCTCTAATCTTGGTGTGGTCGCTTTAGACAAAAAGAAGGACTATTCGAAGAAAATTACAGACATGAAAGCAAAAGACAAGGCTAGAAATGTTGGCAAGAAGGTGTTTATCAATTTTGCATCATGATAGTTGGATCTTTGAACATCAGAGGCAGAGGTATCTTATCCAAGAGAAATAGAATAGACAACATTATCATTTCAGGTAAAGCAAAGATTTTTTTCATCAAAGAATTAAATTCAAATCATTAGATTCCGGTACAATCAATAACCTTTGGAGCAACCAGGAGGTTGGATGGTCCTGTAGCAACACAGTAGAAAAACTGGGAAGTATCATTACAATATGGAAAAAGGATTCTATTGAAGATATTTTCACTTTCAACGGGGAAAGGTTTTTGGGATTGAAGATAAAATGGAAGAATAATATGTACTATGTCATCAACATTTATTCAGCCTGTAGTATCTCTTTGAAAAGGAAATTATGGAGGGAACTCTTGATCTTTGAAATCAAGGTTGACTGATGGCTTGTGGGTTCTCGGAGGTAACTTTAATTCTATATCTAATTCCCATGAAAGAAAGGGGAGTCTTTATGTTAGTAGAAAATTTAAACAAAGGGAGTTTAGCGCTTTTATTGTGGAATTGAACCTTGTGGATTTACCTTGTATTGGGAATTATTTCAGCTAGTTTGGTAGAGAAAATAAATCTATGAGTAAAATCGACAGATTCTTACTTTCTGATTCCATTATAGAAAGGCAGGGAATGATGGGTCAATTTATTGAGAGAAGAGATATATCGAATCGTTGCCCTATTTGGTTGAAGATCAATAAAGACGATTGGGGACCTAAGCCTTTTAAAACAAACTACAGTTGGTTCGAAAACAAAGATTTCTTAAATTACGTGGAAAAGGAGTGGAATAACATTAAATTGGAGGGAAGAAGTAATTTCATCATCAAAGAGAAACTCAAAATCCTAAAATTCAGCCTTAAGAGTTGGAATAAAGAGGTGTTTGGGTGGTATGATTTGAAAGTAGAAGAAGGAGTGGAAGATATCAATATGTTGGATAATCTTTTATCTAATTGTGATGTTCTTTAAGTGAAATAACTGGTAGATAGAAGAAGCAAGGTTGTTGGCTCAATATGGAGGAACTTATATATCAAATATAACATGTTGTTTCAAAAAGCTAGGGTGAAGTGGAACCAAGAGTGGAGACCATAAATCATGGTATTTTCATAATTTGGTTAAGGGAAAGGCGAGGAGAAAATTTATTGGGTCTGTCAGCACAGATAATGGCATGGTGGAATCGGCCAAAGATGTCAAGGAAGCTATCAGGATTTTTTTCAACTTGAAGTTCATTGAAAACGACTCTGCCAGACCTATTTTGGAAGGTATCCAGTTTAAATCTCTCAATCAGGAAAATTCTTTGTATTTGGAGGTTCCATTTACAAATGAAGAAATCAAAGAAGCAGTTTGGAGTTGTGATGGTTCCAAGAGCCCGGGCCCTGACGGTTACAACTTTGTATTTATAAGGAAGTGTTGGAAGTTTATGAAGAAAAATATCATTAACTTTGTTAAAGATTTTCATAGTAAGATGATTCTATCTAAGCCTATTACATCATCGTTTCTTACTTTAATTCCAAAGATTCCCCCACCCTATTAACCTTGAAGATTATAGACCTATATGTTTAGTTGGTTGCCTTTACAAGATTATTACAAAACTCTTAGCTTCTAGTTTGAGGAATGTTTTAGGAGCTTTGATCTCTTAATGCCAAATGGCTTTTATTCTGGATAGACAACTTCTGGATGGTGTTTTACTCGTTAATGAGATAGTAAATATAACTACTAGAGAAACGAAGGATTGCGTTCATTTCAAAGTGGATTTTGAAAAGGCCTAAGACTGCGTTAGTTAAGACTTTTTAAGATTCATGATGAAAAGAATGAGGTTTGGAAGTGTTTGGATGGGTTGGATGAAGGCCTGCATTTTTAACAATCATTTGTCGATTTTGGTTAGCGGGAGTCCAATGTTAGATTTTAAAGTGGGTAGAGCTTTGAGAAAGGGAGATCCCCTTTCTCCTTTCCTTTTCGTCATGATTGCAGAGGGGTTTTCTGAGCTGATAAAAAATGCTATTGTTAGAGGCGAGTTCGATGGTTTTCAAGTGCAGGAGGGAATCTCGATTAACATTGTCCAGTTTGCGGATGACACACTTATCATTGGAACAGGTAGTTGGAAAAATTTATGGAATATTAAAGCTATTTTAAGAGGGTTCGAACGTGTTTCCAGGTTGGGAATAATTATCATAAGAGTAGGTTGATTGGTATCAATATGAGCAACCATTTTCTATTAGTAGGTCCTAACTTTCAGGCCTACAAGTTACAAGAATCAAATTTTAGTTTTCTGGGAATTCCCATTGGTTTAAACCCAAGAAGGATTAAAATGTGGTATTCTATCATTGATAAATTTAAATCGAAGTTGGCTTTAAGGAAAGGGAGATTCCTTTCTTTCGGAGGTAGAATTACTCTCATCAACACGGTCCTAAGTAGCCTTCTTATCTTCATCTTATCTTTTTAATAAAGTGCTGGTGAAAGTTTGGAGAGATATTGATAAAATTCGTAGGAGATTTCTTTGGGGTGGATCAGAGGAGAAAACTAAGATTCATTGGATTAGTTGGGATCTCGCGTGCAAGTCTAGAGATTTATGAGGCCTTGCAATTAAGAGAATGGAAGAGTTCAACTTGGCTCTTTCATTGAAATAGAAGTGGAGAATTCTAATTGAAAAAAATGCCATGTGGAAGAAGATTATGAAGGCTAGATATGACGACTGTGAACATCTTATTCTTTCGGAAAAGAGCTGCAATTCCAATATCTCACCATCAACTTGGTGGAAGGATATTTCAAAAATCAGAGCCTTATCTACTAACTTGGATTTTCATTGTGCAGGTTCTATTTATTATAAACTTGGAGACAGTTCCATTATTCCTTTTTGGTTCGCTAGATGGTGCGAAGAATCTCTGTTGGTGAATTCTTTCCCAGACCTGTTTGAGCTTAGCAGGGATAAATGAGCTCTTGTTTGTGACATGGGGTGTTGGCAAAATGGAATTTGGTCTTAGGGTGATTTTGGCTTAAAATGACATCATCATCATACGGTTGCTGTTAGAATGCAGTAGATGCATGATTTTCTACAAGACTTTTTTCCTTTAGTTGAAACTGAAGAACATTGAAGCTGCTTTCTACTCAGCAAAAGAGGGTTATCATTGCATTATGGAGTCAAAGAGGATTGTTAACTTAGAGGAATATTATTGCCGTACTTTTTGTTTTTTTAAGACGTCCACTCCAGCTAGAATTAAAGTTTTTGGGTGGAGGGTTTTATTGAACAAATTGACAACAAAGAATCAATTAAAAAAAGAGGTTTATGTCAATTGAATCATGTCGGAGTTTGTGTGTCAGGTCTTTAATATGATAAAGATTTATTTCATCTCCTTTTTAATTGCTCATTCTCTTTAAAGGTTTGAGAATTTATCATAGAGTGGATTGATTTCTCTGTGCGTATCGAAGGATCTTTTTGGAAGAGTTTTGTTTCTTGGTGTAGGTTATTTAAAAGAAAATTTAAAAGAGATAAAGTTAGAACCATTTGGTTTGCGATTGCTTGGGTTTTATGAAAACCTAAAAACGATATCTTTTTTAACAGAGCAGTTTGCAACTTGAATGATACCGTTTAGCCCATTAAATTACTTAGAGATAATTAACCATAGGGATATTTCTTATTTCAACTTTGATTTTCTATAATTTAGTATGGATTCCAAGTCTCCAATGCATTGTTCATTCTAATTTTGTGTTGGTTTGAAATTTCTTCTTCTTTTGGTTTGTGCATGGAAGAGTACACCTTGTCATCTATATATCAATGAGTCCTTGCTTTAAGAAAAAAAGAAGTATTATTTTCAACTGTGACAATGAGTAATTGGGTCATGAAAATTGTCTTTCTTACACTCAATTATGTATAGAGACTATAGAGTACTTTTCATATATTCACAATTTTTTACGCAATGTAAATAACTTAAAGTATGACTTATTATATAAAGATAAAAGGAGTACTAGTAGGTTAATAGATTATTATAATTATAAACTTAGAGTAATCATACACTCTTATTAAGGTATGGAATATTCCAAGAATAAACTCACTCACTCAGTCACTCCACTTTCCAATTTTCTGAAAGATTCCTCTGTGTGAATTCATGTTCATTCATTCATGGCTTTAAATTTAAAATAAATAAAGAAGCAGAAGAAGCACTTAATTATCATAACCACTTTTCTAGGTACTAATATATTTCCAATAACTTCCATTCGTTTTCTCAGCTTGTGTCAGGATTCAAAATTTAATATTCATCTATATTTTACGGTCTCTTTTTTAGGGTTGAAAATGTATATTTTTGTGGTCCATAGTATTTATCTTTTTTACACTAACCAAGGTTTAGGTTTAAAATCTGATTAATTTCTTTAGGTCTAATAATGGACAATTTTTTTAGTAATGAAGTTTTAAATTGATGCACAAGATATTTATCAACTAAAATAATTTTTAAATGATACTTATAATTAGAGTTAGAGACTAGAAAAAATAATTTTATAATTAAAATATATGATGTAGTGTTTTAAAAATTAGACCGGTCATCGAATCGGTGAGGGTATTGGGTCACTGGTTTATCGGTCGAACCGCTAGATCACTGGTCGAACCGCATGATTAAACCGGATTAAATCGAATAAATCGGTTGAGTAGACCTGTTATTATATAGATATAAAACCGGTCGAACCAGATGATTCAGTTTCTTAAAAAATATAACTAGTACTTAAATTTTTAAAAAATATCATATCATAAATTCACATGTTCATAATTTAAATTCAAATTTTAAACAAATGTATCACACATAACAAAATAATACAAAATTACAAAATAATTGCAACATAATTTAATTTTAAATAATTTTAAAAATTTTTTTAATTAAAAAATAAAAAATACATTAGAACCGATCCAACTCTAAATCCGGTTTTTCCTGACTCAACCCGATTTTTTCAGGTTTTTACCAGTTTGATTACACAGACGATCGAACTAGTAAATCAGACCGGTTACTAGGCCGATTCTCGGTCTGACCGACCGATCCGGTATGATTTTTAATAAATAAGAGTTATAATTGCTTCTATCTATATGGTTGACTTAAGGAAAAATGAGACCATAAATAAATGGAGAGTAATTTATTCTTTTGATAATGTTTGGTTATGTGGCAACTTCATTATCATGAAATTTTAATGATATCTCAAATTATAAATTATTTTATATTACCAATGCAAAATTAATGATGTTTATGACTATTCTATTATTATTATTATTATTATTATTATTATTATATTTTTTTTTTTTATAGAACCAAAATCACAACATATAGTAAGAAAGAACCAAATTCCTGTCAAGTGAATAAAATCTAAGTAATGTCTATGTGTAAGAATTAAGACCTCTAACAATGAAGTACAATAACAAATGACAATCTCCAAGTTAAGATATCATTGGTGGCAAGCTTTATTTCTTTGTTCATAGTAAGAGGAGAACCTGTCAAAATGGGTCAAAAAAGAAAGGTAATAATATGAGACATGGTCCACCATTTTGTTCCTTTTCAAATGGCAACTTATCTAATCCATCAATTGTGGATACCTTATTATAAAATCTTGCATAACAATTTTTTTTTCCTTATTTTGCAATTATTTTAACACAACTTCTTCTCGCCGCATATACAAGCATGTCTTTTTTTCCTCTTTTGTATTTATTTTATTTTTGAGTAAAATAGAAGAAAGAGAATCTACTCATTTTATATATAGTTAGTGTTCCATTGAAGTCAATGCATATCTATATAATATGATTTTGCCTTACAAATATTAGTGGTTTATATGATAGTAACGTGAGGTTGGGAAGAGGTTTTGATTGAACTTGGAGAAACCTTTTGACTATGTGAACTAGACAAGTACTCTCCAACTTTCTTCAATTATTAGCTAAAACATTAAGAATAAAGATTTATTTCAAACACATACTTATATTCTTATAATCAATATACTTATGCTCAAAACTCTTAGTTTTAGTTATCACTACCCACCTCTTAATGGTGAAACAATTCAAATTTTAATTTAATACACTATTTTAAAAAAAGAAAGTATATTATATCTTGGACACAGAAAAGCGATATACAAATTTCTTATTTTATTTTTTAATTTTTTATCAATAAGAGGATATTTAAAATAGTCATTGCTTCGATCCCTAACAATAATATTTTTATATTATTAAAATTAGTGCCACAAACCTCTCGATTTTGGTCAAAAATCGAGGTATAATTTTTAAATACAAATCACATTGTTTAATTAGAATATTAAATTTCATAATTTATAAGTATCTATTTTTTTTAAATTAAAATACAAAATTTCTTATGTTACATTATTTTACTTTCAATCTTCAAGTACAATTTTATTTAACAAATATGAATCATCATCTTTGTTATTCTTGAAAAAGAACGAATTAAGATTTTGTTGCATATCCATTGTTTTTCAAGTTTAAGGGTTTTGCACGCATCTAACTTCTGATTTACCATAAAAAAATGGTTAAATACACAAGATAAAGTTTAGTTAAAA